GTGACTCCACCACCTCCCTGGGCAGCCTGTTCCAGCTTCTGACGAACCTCTCAGTAAAGAACTTCCTCCTTATCTCTAACCTGAACCTCCCTTGGCACAGCTTGGTGCCGTTACCCCTTGTTCTATCCTCCATCACCTGGGAGAAGAGACCAGCACCCACCTCTCTACAACCTCCCTTTAGGTAGTTGTAGGTGGTGATGAGGTCTCCCCTCAGCCTTCTCTTCTCCAGGCTAAACAACCCCAGTTCCCTTAGCCGCTCCTCATAAGGCTTGTTCTTCAGACCCCTCACCATCCTTGTGGCTCTTCTCTGAACACGCTCCAGAATCTCAACATCCTTCTTATAGTGAGGGGCCCAGAACTGAACACAGTACTCGAGGTGCAGCCTCACCAGTGCCAAGTACAGGAGGCTCCAGGCATGAAGGGGGATGCCAGAAGCTGAGCGTCCAGCTCTGTGCCAGGCAGCGCTGCTGGTGCTCCAAGAAAATTGTCAGGTGAGGTGTAAGATTCCACTCACTGCCAACCCAAGCACCGAAGAAACACACATTTTGGAAGTGTAATAGAAATAACACATTTTCTTCTTAGAGATCAATATCCAAAAGATGACACCGCTGCCTTGCGCAGACACCTGCAGTGATCCAGGTGGAGGGGTTGCTTTGTGGAAGATGCTTGTGTCTATCAAGCACTTGCTTCTCCAGAGTGGCTGTCCTACCATGGCGCAGACTGGGGTCACCACCACTTTTCAGGGCTAATAAAATGCACTGACGACAGTGACTTTATTGCTGTGATTGCCCCACTCACATCAAGTGAAGCAAGAAAGCGAAGAAAAGACACTGTTATAAAACTAAACGTAGCTTATATAAGCTGAATTGGTCAATAGCAGGGGACAATTTCTGCTACAGCCCCTTTTCTGTTGAAGTTGGAAGCTCTTATGACCTCCCAAAGGAAACCCTGGCAGAGCAGCACGGGCCAGTCAGGGTAGTTTGGTTTATATTCACACTTCCCTGTCAGGAGCCCGTCCTCCACAAGCAGTTTGTAAGCCAAGGCAATTTAACTTGGAAGCCACTGGTTTCTGCTGCCCTTGTTCAAAATCTGAAGACAAGAAGACAGAAACCCAGCCTGCTTCCTTCTTGGTCACCCTTGGCTCTTTGTGGAATTCCCCTGTTGTTTCTCAGGTCTAGCGGATAGACAAGAAGAACATCTGTAATCAATCCTATTTGCAGCAACATTATTTTTTTACATTTTTGACCAGGAAGGACTATCAAGCAAAAATGCTCTTTTTTGCTGTTCTTCTAGCAGTGATTTTACGTTTCCTCTCTCCTCTATAACATTAAAAACTAAGGGTATTGTGAATCAAGGCTCTGATGCTGAGCAAGGAGTATTAACATATTTTGATGTCTTCTCCATCATACTGGGACTGTAGAAGGTGCAGACGAGTCACACCTGCAGCTGCTTAGTCCTTTGGCTGTGGCCAGCAGTGAACTGGGTAGATGAAGGTCCACAGTGGAAAAAAAAAAACAACCTAGCTATGAGCAGTCTCTTCCTCCGTATCAAAGGTGAGTTGATGTCTTGAGGCACAAGAAGGAGTTACTTCCCAAAACTTACAAACCTTGTGCAGTGTGACTATCCTGGCTCTCATTATGCTGTGAGTGGAGGTGGCTCCTTGGGCAAACACCAGGAAAGATAACTCACACAGTGAAGTTTATCAGTATAAACACGTGTCTGTAGCTCGTCTGGCTCTTGGACCTCTGTGCAGCCCTTCTAATGCTAAGGGATTTGCAGGATGAAGGGGCTGAGGTGAACAGGCACTCTTTGCAATGAACAAGGAGTGGGACAGGGAGAGGTTGGGGCTGAGAGGAGGGAAGCAGAAGTATCCCTTTCCCAGGCTGGCTCAGGCACCTCATCCGGATGTACCCGAAACGCATCGCTTCCCTGAGACCAGCGCTTGAATCTGAGCCTACGTAAACCTTTTTTTTTTTTTGCTGTGATAATATCTTCACAGAGTTATGAACTTCTTAGTAGAAGAATATCCCACATGTAAACTCCCTCAGTATGATTTTTGTCCAAGCAATGGATGAGAGAAAGATCTAGTTTTGTTATGAGGCAATTGGACTTAATTATGGAGTAATTTATGTGTAACAATTGACTGTATTTTTCATTGTTGCTTTTTCAGGTCAGCTGCTCTTGGCTCTTAATTACACTAGCTGAGGCTTTGCAAATCACTCCCTTTCCATGTGTCTCAGGGAAAGATTATTTTCTAAAAACAGACATTCAAGGAAAATAGGGAACAGAGGACATTTGAGTCCAAACACGATTAAGTACTCTCTGATAAAAAGCTCATTTGGGCATGACATAAACTAAAGAGCAATAAAATGAGCAGTGGACAGGATGAACATCTGTTCTATGTTTTGATTATCTTAGGTGTACAGTGCAATACTTTTAACAGTGGTGTTTTGCTGAAATGGCTGCTGCCCAATGACTGGAAGATCCCTTTCCATGAAGGGTGCCTCCTTGCAGCTCTGCAATGCCGAATCCATGGTGCCCCAATCCCTCACCCTTTAAAGCCAGTTTCTGAATTAATCCATGAGGCCATATGGGCTGAAATAAGCCTGAATCTCTGGCTGGAA